TGGATTCCATTTGGCATGCTCCTTACCGAAACCCTCAAACAAATATCATAGATATTACGATCAACTGATTCTGCTCATCAAACCTTAACGATCAAGTAAGATTTTTCTGAATTAAAAAAAAACAACAGAATACTGTCAGTTTCAATCAAAAAAGTTAACGAGGTTTCAAGAATATTCAATATTGGAGGAAAACCTTTTTAGCGAAACATTTCATTCGGATTTCCTGACCGCGTCGGAGTTTCACGATGAGAATATCCTCAGAGGTGCCATCCTCAGCGTTCCGACTCTGTAAATGACGACCACAAGCCGGTACCACGGCTTGATTGCTCGACTCAAGATCGGCCGTCGTCACCGATCGAGTGCCCTCATCATCCCAACGCACATTCAAACGCATCTCCACGGCACAATCCGGACAGAAATCATTACATTGACAGTCCTTCAATTGCGATCAACATTTTTTTCGTCCTTATTCATATTCCTATGATCATGATCACACTTATGTTCATAATACTCCTAGTTATTCCGTCATTTTACCAGTTTTAATACTACTTCTTATTAGTGTTGACAGAATTTCTATGAATGTAACATTTCACACTTTCAAAATTCACATAGCAATTTTTCGTAACTGACCGCAGTCAAGAGCTGAACAAATGAAGTGAGAATGACGTTCACAAAATAATAAAAACGAAACAACCGAATTCAAAAAGTGACTCTAAATTGATAAGAAATAAACCAACTAACTCTTGAATACTGAAATTTATCCACAACATTATTTGATGTTAACGGAATCAAACCCATTCGATGAGCTATGAATTCATCGTGTAAGACACTCGTGTTCGACTCTATTTGAACCCAATCGATTGCTTAAAAACAAATTGTTTTTTTAGATTGCACGTTTAACATCTCGCGATGATCATTATATTTTTCTTGAATTTCAATATATGACGAAAATTTATCAAAATAAAACACAACGAAAACAACCGTAAATATTTCAGTGTTCACTTACCCATAGTCGGCACTTCTGCGATGAAAATCCTTCGTAGTGAGTTGGCCACACTTAAATCCGTGTCTTCCAGAACAAATTTCACCATTTCATCACTCAACATCAATATAGAAACACGAGGCTGATTCGCGTAAGGCATATTTTAGTCACCTTCAATGTTTCTAATGTACGAAAACAAATCATTCGTTTCTATCCGGAGAAATAACGCTCAAACAAACTGAATCGAACAGATCATAGCGCACATTCAATTGCTTACAGTGAATCACTGAGCCATAGCACAACAACGATGAAGTGAAACACATTGATAAAATAATAATAAAGATACTGAGACGGTGAGATACTCGAAATTCTTATCAGATGAACCGGAAAACTCAGCATGTAATATCTGCAAGCAAAAACTGCGGACAAGCTGGATGCAAACCACCTGAACTGCCAAAGGGGTGAGGGAAAAGTCATCTGGCCTGCTCAAGAACAGTCGAAGCAAAGTGGACATAAAGGTAGAGGTGTGTTATGGGAACACTGGGTCCGTGCAAAGAAACCCATATGAATGCGTTTTATGGATTAGGGGATATAATTTCGCACGGATATAAGAATCA